ACTTCCCTTTCCTCTCAAACAGAGGGCAGTTCCTTTTGTGGCTCCAGGCTACATTTGGGACTTTAATTCCTATCCCAAAATCTCTAATAAGAGTGATCTTTGATGAGTGGACAGTGAAGGGGTGGGGGAAGAGGCAGGCATGGATTGGAACTGCAAAGGATATCCATTTGTCAAATTTCACTGGTGCACAGCTCATAGTACAGATTTAGATATGGCTACTAGATCTTGCGCAGAAGGCAGGTCACGGTGGCACCTTAGAGACTAACTGCTTCAGAGAGAAGGCTGCTGCCTATGAAAGCTTATGCCTCTGTAAAGCAGTTAGTCTCTAAGATGCCATCCTGTGCTGTTTTCTGACTGACTTCAGATCTTAGGCAAATTACATAAATAACATAATAATAAGACAGATACAACTAATGGATCACAGCATCATGGCAGGTTGTGTGCAGCCAGATCTGGGGCCACTAAATGATCAAGGTGCTGACCAGGGTCAGGAGAAATGAGCAGAGACCAAGGAAAAGCCAAGTCAGGGAGTCAGGTGGCTAGTTCAAGAGCAGGGTTTAGGAACATGCCAAGTCAGGAAGCCAGGAGATCAGGCAGAGACCAGAGTTGGAGAGCACACTAGATCAAAAAGCCAGGAGATCAAGCAGGGAGTACAGTCAGAGCACAAACCAGAGAAAACAGCGAAGCAGTATCCTGGACACTTCCTGTTCCACATCAGGGGTTTATCCAGGAAAAACAGAGGATCAGCTGACCCTGACCAGCCATTCCGGTGCCAGTGAGTGGGCAGAGGGCTAGGCTCTGCTGATGGCTTCAGGACAGCCTTGACCAGCCTGTGTGACCAATTGTAGGGTAGTAGACTGGGATAAGCAGCTGTGCTGGTTGGGCCAAGGCTCCAGGTTTGAGGCTATGGCCTGACACAAAGCTTCTCAAAGGAAGTTTCTCTGTTCACTGTATCCTGGACTATTAGAAGAAGATGACCTCTTTCAGAAGGACTTTTGATGTTTTTTCCTAATAAAGAAGAGCTTTGAATTTTAATAATTAACAGGCTATATAGTCAACACTTCTAAATTACATTACTTTTTTTCCCTAAAGAACATCAACATTTTATTTTATGGAGAAGCAAAAATACTGTTAGGTTCATGAGATTCAGCTTGTGCTTTCCAAAGCTCTAAACTAGCTTCTTCAGTAGAGGATAAATTAACTAAGGAAACAAGTGAATGACAAATTTCTGATCAGACACTTTACCTTCAATCTAGGAAGCAGACCTAATCTAAATAAAACTACTGTATTTTATAAAGCTACCTGAAAACTTTCCCTCTTAAAAGCGAAGTACAATTTTAAAAAAAATCCATATATCTGACTTCCTAAAGGTTTTATTCACTTTATAGATATGTTTTTTTCTCCAGAACTTCTTTTAGCTTAGAGCCATAATCAAAGCCCTTCCTTCCCTTATCAAAAACCTCTGATTTTACAGTAATTAATTCTCTTATTGTCTGCTGGTCATACTAATGAGCTGGATGTAAACTTTGTGCTGCAGTGAGTAGTTTATCATGCTGACGGGCAGCTGTTTTTGAAGTTGCCTGGAATAGAGGTTTTTACTGAGGATCTTCCATAATATAATATAAAGTTTAGAAAACATCTAATAAAATCCCAAAAATAAGCTTTCTGGACATGAATTGACCACGTTTCTGCCAACACCACCAGACAGTGGTGGTTTTTTATATTGGTATTCTGTCTGCCTTGTTACCTCAGACATAATGTAGCCCATGCTTAGGCGATCTGTCATGAAAAGAACATGGAATAATTTATATTTGTTTGCCTTTCACAGAAGCTTGTCAGCAGCTCTGGCTCCTCCTCCTCAAGTTCTTGGGAGTGACTGCGAGCGCTTATGGCACCAAAATCTCAAGCCAAATTGCTTGGCCAGCCAACACAGTAGTAGACATTCTTCTCTGGTTTTGTTGATGTGACTAAGTTGCAAGTCTTTGTGCACCCTCTTTCCACAATTACTGTACTAGTTATCAGAATGCCCTCTGATTTGCTGAAACCAATGTCACATCCAAAACTGCCATTCTGCAGGAAACAAGATTTTGGGGAAAAAGTGCCTGAAACTCCTGACTAGAGTCAGGCTGCCTCTCTTACCTCTCTATGAAACAGAACATCTGGCAGCAAAATTTCCATTATATCGGGCAGAAATCAAATCTATATTTCCTCCATTCTTATCATAAGTGCAAATAAATCAACTGTGAAAAATGCTGGACATGCGCTCAGTTAATGATGACAGCTAACAAGCAGATCAATTTTAGATATTTCCTGTCTATCCCAATAACAGCAAATTAAAAATTCTTCAAGAAGAAAACAGGATATCCAATCAGTTTTGAGATACCTGGATTTTGTAATTAATATGTAATAGATTCTTTCACTGCAGTCAATAGAACGGCAAGACAACCCATACTAGCATCAGCCATAAAAAAGAAACGACTAATACTATGGAACAAATTTCCTGAAGTGCCCACATCTCTTCCAGAGAAGATCTTGCTCTCTTCTTTTTCCAGCTAACATGCCGTTTGTACTCACTGCACCAAAATTCTTCCAGTAATCAATAATGCCAATTTTCAGTGAGGCATGAAAGATCCTGGATGTCTTCCTTGTTTAATTCACAAAATGTTATTATGCTGTTAATTTTTCACTGACTATATATCTACCACTAAGGTCTTTGCCTGATACTCAGAACTATACTTTTACTATCACCCTCCTCTCACTAACCTCAGTGACTGAGGGATGCTTAACCCAACATTCAGCAGTAACAATGTATCTTTATGTTTATCAGAAATCCTCTCATTAAGGGCACGATAAGAACTGAACTATCATATTCAAGAAAGACCATAAAAGCCAAACAGCAAGAGGAAAAAGGAAAGTAGGGCACAAGGAAAGCCAGAAAATCCCAATAGGCAATCCCTTACCACTAACATCTTCCCATCCCCAACCCCAGGCGCTCTCAGAGCAAAATGCAGGCATTCCTCATCACCTGCCCCAGGCTTCTCCTAAATTAAGACGCTGAGTAAGACTGGCAAGATCTGGCTCCCATTTCAATGATTTCAATTTGGCTAAGTTTTCACCAAATCTATACTGTATCAAAAACACGTGCAGTTCCAGGTCGTAACATCAAAGGACTTCTACATCTTCAGAATGAGGGATGCAGCTGGGTCTGTCTGTTGTTATAAGTATTAATAAGGCCAATTAATGTTTTTAATTATTAGATGGTATTTAGTCAAATGCAGGAGTCCCCATCATTGACTAGGTCTCCATCCAACAGGGAAAAGGATTTTGATTTTTTTTAAATCTTCCTCAAAGTGAATGATGAGCTCGATTCTATGCTTTGCCAGTCTTACATTTCACACTGAAAATAATTACTGGAGTTACCTGGATCTTTTCCCAAGTCTAAGAAGGCAGCAGCAGTAATAAATATTTATATTATGTTAGGAAATCAAAACGCTTCTGAGAATTTGACAAAATACCATCCTCAAATGATTTATTCAACATCTCTCTCACATGGACTCTTTAAAAGCTTTTAAAAATTCTATTTTTTTCCTCCTAGCCTTTGAGTCGTGCCACTGACCACTGAGGCTATCATCAGTAATACCTTCTGCTGCCACAAACTGATTCTATTTCCTTCTGCATATTATCTGTTTTGGGAGCTCCATTTCTTCCAATGGGCTACTAAACTCTGTGCTCAGCAGCTGCCATCTGAATACAAAGAATAACATTTCTAATGGCTGTATTAATATTCTGAAGAATAATCTATCCTCTGTGTGTGTCAGGACATATTTTATTACCATATTATTACACATCAGTAGCCTTTAGAGATTAAAATGGACCAGAAAAATTAATACATTTAACTCAAGTTTCTATTAGCTTTGTTACAGGGGTGTAGGTTGTAGCCATGTTGGTCTAAGGACATAGGCAGACAAGGTTCTTTGGGTAAATCTTTTATTAGACCAACTTAAATAGTTGGAAAACAATTTTTAAGCAAGCTTTCGGGTTCAAAAATCCTTCATCAGGTTAAGGAAGTTTCAGCAGTTGGTGTGTGCTCTTCCTAGATGGAGTGAAAAGTAAAGAAGCCAGAGGCTGGGCTGGTATGCATACAAGACAGGCAGTCAGTGAAGATGTAGATGGAGGAGTCAATGGGTGAGAGAGAGGCTGGGGGGGAGAAGTACCTGGGGAGTCAGATGGCAGGCAGGTTATAATGTGTCATCAATCCAATGTCTATATTTAGTCCATGATTTTTAGTATCCAGGAGGTTGATGAAGTGGAGTTCATAGGCTATGAACTCCACTTCATCAACCTCCTGGATACTAAAAATCATGGACTAAATATAGACATTGGATTGATGACACATTATAACCTGCCTGCCATCTGACTCCCCAGGTACTTCTCCACTATTTATCCCCCTTCTCTCCCCACCACCCAGCCTCTCCCTCTCCCATTGACTCCTCAGTCTACATCTTCACTGACTGCCTGTCTTGTATGCATACCAGCCTAGCCTCTGGCTTCTTTACTTTTCACTCCATCCAGGAAGAGCACACACCAACTGCTGAAACTTCCTTAACCTGATGAAGGATTTTTGAACCCGAAAGCTTGCTTAAAAATTGTTTTCCAACTATTTAAGTTGGTCTAATAAAAGATATCAGATTCACCCAAAGAACCTTGTCTGCCTATTAGCTTCGTTCATGTTCCTAGTAGAAGCACTGTGCATCTGCACTAACACTGTTTAATTATTTTGCATATGTGCTTGTGTATACAGTTACTGCAATGGTATGCCTCACTGAATTCTCCTGTTCTATGGAAAAGAACGGTAGTTGAAAACTAAAGGCCTGATACCATGTACACAGTCTCACTGACTCCTGTTTTTGCAAAAGCAGAACCTATGTTCCCATTTAACACCAAGTGTTACAGTAACCACACAGACAGATTTTTCCATTGACATCACATCTTCATCTTACCTGAAAATAAAAGAAAGCTTGACCAAACCAATAATGCACTATAGTCATTTGAGCTGCATCAAATTTCAATGGCGTCCAGATGCATCTTGTCATTATCAGTTGAATTAGCAGACAAAACACCAGGACTGGCAAGTTATGGGGTCTAAACAGCAGAGCCGCTAGGAGAACCAATCCACTATATATTTCCCATAAGCCTGTAATTTTTGTCTTGGAGTCTGTAGAGATAACCTGTGACCTGAGTAAATCTTTGGTACCAGTGAAAATTATGCCAAGGACAAAGACATAAACAAAACGAGCTTCAATAATTCCCCTAAAAAAAAAAAAAAAAAAAAAGTGGGTAAAAAAAAGGAGTTACCC